TGTGTGTGTGTGTGTGTGTGTGTGTGTGTGTGTGTGTGTGTGTGTGTGTGTGTGTGTGTGTGTGTGTGTGTGTGTGTGCAAGAGAGCGAGTGGGGGCGCACTGGCCAGCGCCAAGACTCGGATGTATGGAGCGTGTGTTTGTTGCTCCAAGACAGTCAGTGAGCAAGCACCGCAAAACAGCAAACTTGCGGATGGCGTGACGCAAACACACAAACACACACACACACTCGCACACACACACACACGCTTGCACACACACACACACACACGCAAACACACACACACACTTGCACACAAACAAATTGCACCACACACATACAGACAAACACACAGTTTTGGGGCGTGGCCTGTGGTGGCCTCGATGGCAGTTGCAAACTCTGCAATGGACTGGATGGGCGCCGCCATCCACACCTCCCTGAACCGCTGCCAGTTCACCTGCTCATGCAGGCAGAGGTGCTGAAACCGCTTTGCGTTGTGGCCGCTCATCTTTGTCGTCTTCGCGGTTTCCGTTTCGTGTGTTTCGTGTGGTGTCAGGACTCGCTGCAGTTTATGGTGTTGCTAACACAGCTGTCAACATTGACAGGTCTCCGTGCAGTGTGGAAACATTGCAATATCTTTCACACCACGCGGTGTGGCGTGCAAATCAGCGAAACACATTTCCACACACACACACGACCACAGATACAAAAGAAGGCGGAAGGTGCGTGCGCGCTGTGTTGTATGTGGGGGGTGCAAGGCGTGCAGCAAGGGAGCAGCAACACTGGGAGAGCTGTGTGTATGGCACATGTGTGTGCGTGTGTGCGTGTGCATTCCTCGAACGCCCATCTCACAACTGCGTCTGCTTTTGGTCTTTTGTCCCAAACAGACAGAACCCCTTTCGTCCCCCACCTACCCACACACACACACAGTCAACACAAAACTTGCAGACATGGCTGCACTCTTGACCAGGATTGGCTGGATTGGTGCCGGCATTGCCTTTGGCGGCGCCGTCATCCAGGGCGCGCTCTACGATGGTGTGTGTTGTATGTTTGTTTGTGTGCGTAGTGTTGCGTGTGTGTGTGCGCGCGCGCGTAGTGTGTGCGTAGTGTGTGTGTGTGTGTGTGTGTGTGTGTGTGCGAATGGCGGGGTTGTTGCCGCACTATTTCCCCCCAAGCTCTGGCACTCATCCTTCTTTTTCGTCTCCTTGCCTCGCACTCCTCCACTCACACAATGCACACTCATGCACACACTCCACGACACACAGTCGACGGTGGCCACCGCGCAGTCATCTTCGATCAGTTCCGTGGTGTGTCTGAGATTGTGAGGCCCGAGGGCACCCACTTTATGATTCCCGTTGTGCAGCGCCCCATCATCTACGACGTGCGCAGCCAGCCCCGCAACATCCCCGTCACCACACCAAGCAAAGGTAGCCAACAGCACTGCTTTTGTTTGCTAACTCTTGTCTTGTCTTGTCGGTCGTGTGGTTTTCGGTCATAGCCACAAGCCATGCACCCTCGCACAAGTCATGCGCAAATACACACACACACACACATCAACGCTGTGACCCCTCTCAACCTCCCTCTCCCTCTCTCCATCCACAGATTTGCAGAACGTCAACATCACACTCCGTATCCTCTACAGGCCGGAGGTCAAGTCTCTCCCTTGGATCTTCAAGGTTTGTCTGTCTCGGCCACATTGGGCTTCGTGTGATGCTCTCGTGTGTGTGGCCTGCTTTGTGCTTCTGCGTGCGCTCGTCGCGGCTCTTGCGCGCTTTCGCATGCTTCTTCTCCTTCCCAACCCTTTGGCACTCACAAACAAATTCCCAACACACACACACACACACACAAACAAACTCCCAACACAAACACACACACACACACACACACACACACACACACACACACACACACACACACACAAACTCCCAACACAACACACACACACACACACGCACACACACACACACACACAAAATTGCACATGACTGCGTTCAGAACTACGGTACCGATTACGCAGAGCGTGTGCTTCCCTCCATTGGTCACGAAATCCTCAAGGCCGTTGTGGTACGTAGCTGGCCGGCATGTGTCTTCGCGTTGTTAACTGTGTCACACCAGCCACCCTCTGCGTTTCACACTAACCACTACTGCCGCATCCCACTCACCACTGCACGTCCCTCTCTCTTCCCTTCCGACACCTCTTCCCCACCCCACCCGCACCCGCACCCTTGTTCATCCCCATCTTACCTGTATCCGCAGGCCCAGCACGATGCGGCTGAGCTGATTACGCAGCGTGAGATTGTGTCGATGAAGTGCCGCGAGGCCCTCAACTCGCGCGCCCGCGACTTCCACATCATCCTGGACGACATCTCCATCACCCACCTCACCTTTGGCCACGAGTTCACCCACGCCGTCGAGCTGAAGCAGGTTGCGCAGCAGGAGGCGGAGCGCGCCCGCTTCCTTGTCGAGCGCGCAGAGCAGGAGAAGATTGCAAACATCATCCGCGCCGAGGGTGACTCCAAGGTGCGCACACACGCGACTTTGTGCCTTGTTTGCGCGGCCGCTTTGTTGTGCTATGGTGTATTGTGATGATGTGCGTTGTGGTGATTGGTGATGTGTTCTTTTTTCTTGCGTTCCCGTGTGGTGTTACACACTCACAAACTCGAACCCTCTCCCCCCCCCCCCATTCTCACCGTTCTTATTCACTCACTAACGCCTGTTCCCCCTTCTCTTCACGCGTGTGCGCGGCCGCGACGCCACAGGCGGCCAAGCTGATCAGCAACGCCCTGCAGGAGCACGGCACCGGTCTCATCGAGCTCAGGAAGATTGAGGTCCGCTGTTTTGTGCTTGCTCTTTCTCTCGCGTGTGCATCTTCCATGGCTTGCCCTGCACTTTGCGCTAATGCTGTGCTTTGTTTGTATGCCTTCGTTTCTGGCTCACACACACATACACACACACACACCACTCACTCACTCACTCACACACACACTCTCTCTCTCTTGCACACGCGCACACTCACACACTCACTCTCTCTTTTCTCTCTCCTCTCTTCTCTCTGCTTCATCATCGTCCACCACCACCACTATGGCCCACGTCAACAACAGGCTGCCAAGGACATTGCTGGCACGCTGTCGCGATCAAGGAACGTGGCGTACCTCCCCGGCGGCAAGAACCTCCTCCTCAACATGAACGTCTAAGCCGCATGGATGG